TCCATTGGCTCGTCAATGCTGAATTTTACCGCCATCGTTTTCGCTTTGAGCACTCTCAGATTCAGGATATCATTGCTCACTAAGGGCACGCCTCCACAACCCCTTCTCCACTGTCATGCTCGACGCCTCCACTGATGCTTCCATTTTCGCCACCGCAGGTATACGTTCCCTTTTCTGTCTTTCCATTTCCACAGTTACTCACACATATGATTTTTGGATATTGAAAACTGGTGCTACATCCCACATTTGTTGTACACAGTCTTATTTTACCTCCTTAAAGCATGTTGAACCCATACACGTAAATTTGCCTAATGGTAGCTTTGTGATAGTCACTCGAATTGGTAGTGTGTCTTTGACATATTCCTTTCTACTATATGATGTCCTCTTTGTTCCCGAATTCACTTTTAATCTTGTTAGTGTTAGTATGTTAACAACCACTCACAATTGTGTTGTTAATTTTTCCCTTCACTCTTATGTCATTTAGGACTTCACTCAGGACTTATTGATTGGGAATGGTAGTCGGATTGGCAATCTCTATTACTTAACTTCTAGGAATTTTAGTTGTAATTCTGTCAATTTCACACATATAAATTTTAAAATTAGGCTATGACATTTTAGAATTGATCATCCATCTTATGTCAAACTTCAGTATATTAATAAAAGTTTACACATTTATGATATTTCACATTGTAGAATCTGTCATTTTGCAAAACAACGACATTGGCCTTTTATTTCTCATAATAAATTAGCATATAATCCTTTTGATTTGATTCACATTGACATTTGGGGACCATTTTCTACTCCTACCATTGAGGGGTATCGTTATTTTTTTACTATTGTTGATGATTGCACTCGTACGACTTGGGTTTATCTGCTTCGCTAGAAATCTGACGTCCTTACCATTTTTCTTAACTTTTATACTTTTATTCTCATTCAATATAAGATTCCTATCAAGTCTGTGAGGTCCGACAATGCACATGAGTTAAGCTTTTATTTATTTTTTAAATCTGAAGGGATTCTTTCATATCACTCTTGTGTTGAAACTCCGCAACAGAATTCTATTGTCGAGTGTAAATATCAACATATATTAAATGTTTCCTGGGCTTTATTTTTCCAGTCTCATGTTCCCTTGGTGTATTGAGGTGACTTTATATTGAACGCTGTTTATATCATTAACCACACTCCGTCTCCTTTACTCTCACATAAGACTCCTTTTGAGCTTCTGACATCTAAAAAGCCACATTATGATCATTTACATACTTTTGGATGCCTGTGTTATAGTTCTACCCTCACGAGTCAGTGTCATAAATTTTTTCCTCGTTTTCGTGCATGTGTCTTCATCAGTTATCCTTCTGGGTTCAAGGGCTACAAACTCCTTGACCTAGAAACTAACCAAATCCATATTTCTCGTGATGTTACCTTTTTTGAGACTATTTTTCCTTTCTCTACTCCATCTCCGAGTATTCCTCATCTAGAGTTTTTTCAATATCGTGTTTTACCTGGTTCCCTTGATCTCCCTACACCACCTCCTTCTCATGTTTTCGCTCCACAATCTCTTCCTTGTGTTCTGACTCGTCCTCAGCGTGTCACATGACCTCCATCTTATTTGGCTGACTATCACTGCTACCATACCGATACCCCCACAGTCACATATCCTATTTCATCATTTCTCACTTACCGTAGACTCACACCTCATTATCATAATTTTGTACTTGCACTTTCTTATCACATTGAGTCCTAGTCATTTTTTAAGGCAGTCCGGTTGGCAGTTTGGAGGGATGCAATGCATACTGAGTTGCGCGCTCTTGAGAGCAATGACACCTGGTCTGTTGTGTCTCTCTCTCCAGGTAAGAAACCAGTTGATTGCAAGTGGGTCTACAAGATTAAGTATAAGTCTGATGGTACTATTGAGTGGCACAAGGCCCGCCTTGTCGCCAAGGGTTTTACCCAACAGTTTGGTGATGACTTCATTGATATATTCTCACCGGTTGACAAACTGGTTACTGTTAAGGTTTTACTGTCTCTTGCAGCAATTCTGGGTTGGACCTTTACTCAATTGGATGTCACCAATGCTTTTCTTTACGATGATATTCCGGAAGAGGTTTACATGACTATTCCTCCAGGATATTCTCCTCGAGACGGGGGGGGGGGGGGGGTTCTTCCACAAAGAGCAGTTTGTCGTTTACACAAGTCAATTTATGGGTTGAGGCAACCTTCACGACAATGATTTTACAAGTTCTCTTGGGCTCTACTTCAAGAACGCTTCACTCAGTCTCAGTGTAATCACTCTTTATTTGATAAAAATGAGGTATTTTTCTAGCTCTTCTCGTATATGTTGATGATATTCTCATTGCCAGTAATGATGATCGGCCTGTTAATAATCTAAAAATTATTTTGAGGCAACAATTTAAAATGAAAGATATTGGGTTCCTCAAATGCTTTCTTAGTCTAGAAATTGCAAGGAATAATGAGGGAATCCCATTGTATCAGAGGAAGTATGCTTTGGATCTATTGACTGAGACTGGACACTTAGCTTGTAAACCTTCCTCGATTCCTATGGAATCAAATTTGAAGATGTCTAAAGAAGATGGGGAACCACTTCAAGATGTCACAGGCTATCGACAATTAATTGGAAAGCTGTTGTACTTGACAATTACTCATTCAGATATGTGTTATTCAGTGAACAGATTGAGCCAGTTTCTAGTTGCTCCTCGGAGTAGTCATCTTTAAGCCGCTCTACAGATGTTATAATATGTTAAGAAGGCACCAGGACAAGGTCTTCACTTTCCTGTTTCGTCTTCTATTCAGATCAAGGCTTTTTCAGATGCTGACGGGGGTACCTGCCTTAACACTAGAAGTTCTCGTATTGGGTACTGTATCTTTCTTGGATCCTTTCTTGTTTTATGGAAATCAAAGAAGTAGCAGGTTGTGTCTAGATCCTCTGCAGAGGTAGAGTACTGTTCTATGACCAACACCTCATTTGAGATAGTGTGGATCCTAAACTTATTACGAGACTTGCAAGTGAAACATCAAGGACCAGCTTTGCTTTATTGTGACAATCAAACCGCTTTGCACATTGCGGCTAATCCAGTATATCATTTAATGACAAAATACATTGAGTTGGATTGTCACTTCGTTAGAGAAAAAATTCAGGATGGGGTCTTGAAAACTATGCATGTATCATCACGAAATCAGATTTCAGATTCAATGACCTAAGCACTTTCTTTTCTGCAATTCTACACTTTATTGGGCAAGATGGGTATTATTGACATGTACTCTCCATCTTGAGGGGGAATATTAGAGTATTATGTTATTTTAGTTATAACTGATTGTATTGTTATTTTATTTTATTATCTTTACATGTATATAATATATTTTTTGTATTATGTAAAATCAAATAAACATTTTAATAAAAAGTGATGCAAAGAAGAGGAAGTAGGGCCCATATATCATTGAATGAAAATAAACCTCTTAATTATTTAATGTTTTTATTTAGTACTGTCTCCATTACAACCATAAACGAAGTGAAGATTCAAGAGATAATAATGACTACACAGTAAGAAATAATTATATAGTTACTATTTGGTAATTGATCAGTAAGTGGGCTGCTATGAAGTATACTTATGGTCGTTTGAGACTAATTGGTTGCTTCAATTTAAAATTATATCAGAAATTTACAATTATAAGTATTTTTTTAACAAAACTTTGAGTCAAATATTAATTCATCAAATTGTATAGGCGACCGACTATATCACATAATGTTGACTCTTGCAATGCGGACGATTAATACAAATTCATATGACATAGTTATCCAATACATATGATATGTCTCGTTTGCTTTATCTTACGTACCTGTCAGTTACCTTAATCAATACGTTAATTAGACTACATGTATGAACATATATATATTTATATATGTATATATATATATATCAGAGAGTATGAACATATATCCCCAAAAACAAGTTCAGTACTCCAGCTTTATTCTTCTACACGTGTGTTTCTGTTGCATGATGTCATGATCAACACGTTTGCAATTACGCTTTGAATAAATTTTTGTTGGAGGGGAAACATTTGCACTTTTAAAAAAAATAAAAAAAGGCAAAGAAAAGGAAACTAAGTTGTGTTGGTTTTCAAAACATTTGAAGTTTGAATTTGACTTTTCTCTGTAATTTCTCTTTTTATCAGCTTCAGCTGCCTCTTCTTCTCTCTATCTAGATCTGTCTTGTCTTCCATGTTATTATAAATACTCCCCTCCCTTTGCTTCTCTTCCCCAATATCACTACTGCTAAATTAGCTGCAGATACATACATACACACACACATATACATATATATTTTTATTATTGTTTGTAATTGAAATTTGCCAAATGGGTTTTGGTACTAATCAGTCGCTGTTGTCTAAAATTGCAACAAACGATCGACATGGTGAGGATTCTCCTTATTTCGATGGATGGAAAGCTTACGACAGAAACCCTTTTCATCCTACTCGCAATCCTGACGGCGTTATCCAAATGGGTCTCTCTGAAAATCAGGTTAATTAGTTTGCTTCATATCAACCTCCCATCCCAGCTCATGCATGAACTTAACATGCAAATTTTCCCCTTTCTACTTATATATATCTTATGTTTTCAGCTCTCTAAATATATATGTGTTGTATCAGCTTTGCTTTGATTTGATCGAGAAGTGGGTTAAAAAGAATCCCAATGCTTCCATCTGCACAGCTGAAGGGGTTGAAAACTTCAAGCACATAGCCAACTTCCAAGACTATCATGGCCTGAAAGAATTTAGACAGGTATAGACACACACACACACACACATATATATATATATATGTAGGTGCCATTTCTATTTGTAGTACTATAAGGTGTATACAGCACTAATATTAATTCATGTATATAATTATTGAAAATTTAAAAATATTTTGGTGTTGAAGGAAGTTGCCAAGTTAATGGGGAAGGCAAGAGGCGGCAGAGTGACGTTCGACCCAGAGCGTATAGTGATGAGCGGGGGAGCGACAGGCGCCAGCGAGACGATTATGTTTTGCTTGGCGGATCCAGGCGATGCTTTTCTGGTTCCCACTCCTTACTATCCTGCGTATGTCACCTTCAATCTTCTTTTTTCAATTCTTAATTTCTTTTTTGTCATTACAAGTTTTTCATTTTTCACTTATATATATATACTAATTAACAACATAATTAATCTTTTAATAAAAAATAATACAACGAATCTCTTAACAGAGATCTGAATAAAATAAAATATACATAATAATTTTGAATTTTCTAAAAGAAAAAATAAAATATCAACCATTCCATGGCGGGTATTTTTACTATTAATTAATATCATCTTCTTGGTTGATGAGCTCTGTCTTTGGTTTGTAACCCTACTATTCGTTAATAAAGTTATCTTACTTTCAGAAAAAATATATATATATATATATATATATAATAATTTCATCTTCTACGCACTTTTTTATTTGATGATACCCTTCATGACTTCAATGCCTGACCTTCTTTTTCCTACAAATTATCAATATGATCATCTTTACAACTACAGTTTTTTTTTTTTTCCTTTGGTGAGAAACGAAATCCTACAGTTTGATATATATATATATATATATAGTTTAATATACACACACACACACACACACATATATTAAACTGTGGTATTTATTAGTGAGATATCTTAAGTGCTTTTAACTGATATTTGGACATGACATGCATAACTAGACTTTTATGAAGCTCAATATTTGTACGTTCTATTTAATTTTTTAGAGTATAAATATATTCATCATAAAAAATACAGATTGGTGTGTGTTATGTATATATATATATCCATAGTTTGAAGAATATTTTTATGAATAAAGTTAGTGTCTGGAAAAGGAAATTACCGAAAGAAACCTAGCTGTCTTGTTTCTGTCTCTTAATTAGAAAGCATTGAAAAGAAGTTTCAACATACATTAATAGGATTTAGTAATATCTGGAAAAACATGCCTAGCTACTTAGAGATTAGTCATAATCTCTGAAATTGGAGGTCTCAATAGCATCAGTTCTCTGCTTGATTCAATACGTTAGGTCAAACTCAAATCTATTTTGGACCACTGATTTCAGGAATTCATCAATTTCCTTGAAGCAAAGCAATTTTAGATTAGTCTGAAATCAAAATTATATCCTTTTTCTAACTTTAATTATTAATCCCACGTTCTAATTAATTAATAATAACTTAAAATAATCTTGATTTCCTACTTTAATTATTAATTCCACGTAGTATATATAAGTACTTAGTTAAATATGAAAAGTAATTTATTTGGAGGACTTAATTAATTTGCCATTTGACCTTTGAACGTCAAATTTTTATTCCATTCAGAATAGTAAACCCATTCTTAAAATTCAAAGCATTATCTGCTGCACTATTACATATATATATATATATAGGTGTATATGCTTGGATCAACTGAGGCTACTCGGGACAATTTCAAAATTTTATGCGCATATTCTAATTTTGTTTTACAAGTCCCAAACTTTTACCAGAATTTAATCAACCTTCAATTTTTATATGTAGCTGGTCTTAGATTTTTCATAAGTAATATGACCCACGAAATTTCTAGGTGGATTTCTACATACTAAATGTTCCCTATCCAATTGAGCCTAATCAATTAGTATTAAATCGGAAAAATACATAATTTATATATATTTGTGTGTCTGTGTCTGTTTGTATACTATATTGGAAAAATGTTTTTTATTTTTATTTTTTTAATTGGATAAAAGTACATATATAAGTAGGTGTTCATTGCTAAGCTAAAAGATAATTTTATTATAAATTAAATATACTAATAAAATCTTTTAATTCAAATTTTTACAGATTCAATAGGGACCTGAGATGGCGAACCGGCGTACAGATAATTCCAGTGCAATGCAGCAGCTCAAACAATTTTACAGTAACACGGGAAGCCGTAGAGGCTGCGTACCAGAAAGCTCAAGAAGCCAACATCAATGTCAAAGGTTTGATCATCACCAACCCCTCGAATCCGCTAGGCACCACCTTAGACTCACAAACACTCCAGAGCTTGGTCAACTTCGTCAACGACAAGACCATCCACCTGGTCTGCGACGAAATCTATGCCGCCACCGTCTTCAGCTCCCCGGAGTTCGTCAGCATCGCGGAGATCATCCAAGAAATGGACGTTAACCGCGACCTTATCCACATCATCTACAGCTTGTCCAAAGATATGGGTCTCCCCGGTTTCCGGGTAGGCATTGTGTATTCCTACAACGACGTCGTATTAAGCTGCGGCCGGCGGATGTCGAGCTTTGGGTTGGTCTCGTCACAGACTCAATATTTCCTGGCGACACTGCTGTCCGACGACGAGTTCGTCGATTACTTCCTCCGGGAAAGCTCGAAGAGGCTGGCGAGAAGACACCATAAACTCACCAGAGGGCTGGAGCAAGTGGGGATAAAGTGCTTGAAAAGCAATGCCGGACTTTTTGTGTGGATGGACCTGCGGAGGCTCCTGGAAGATCCAACGTCGTTTGATGCAGAAATGAAGCTGTGGCGGACCATCGTCAACGACGTGAAGCTGAACGTGTCGCCGGGATCTTCGTTCCACGTGGCGGAGCCGGGGTGGTTTAGGGTTTGCTTCGCGAACATGGAAGAGGAAACCATGGATGTCGCGCTGCAGAGAATCCAAGCTTTTGTCTGCAGAGCGAAAGAAAGAGAAGCAGCTGCGGCGGCGACGACAAATAAGAAAAGAGGAACGATGAATTTGCGGCTGAGCTTCTCGTCTAGGAATCGGGTGTACGAGGAACAGTATTACGTCATGTCACCTCACATGATGTCACCTCGGTCGCCGCTTGTTGAAGCAAGAACATAAAGAAAATTAATAAATTTATTTTAGAATAATATTAAAATGGTTCGTTAATTAATTAGTGGTGGTTCAAATAGTCAGCAGTTACTTTTTTAACGCACCACTTTTAGGAAAAGTTAATTTTTACCCACTGAAGGAGTAAATCATACAGGGGTTGGGTTGACTCTTTGGATTCTGTGGGCAAGTATAAAGTTATAATTTTTCACTAGGCAACTAACCATGGTCTAGGGAAGTTATACATAATATATATATATATATATATATATATAAAGTCTCGGAGTCAAGCAGTAAGAAGCTGGCGTCACGTGTTTCAAATTGTCCGAATAAATTGTAGTTATGAAATTAATTTGGATATATATTGTTTCGTTGTGCTGAATCAATTTATATATATATAAAGGAAGTGTGAATGGACATGCATCATGACATTATCTATATGTATGTATGTGCAGCATGCGTATGTCTCAGGTCGGCGAGAGCAGATAGTCAAAGATCTTTGAATACACGTAATAAATATACGCATAATTAATTAATATTTTACTTATTTGTTTGAGGACATAGATGATACGTATATTCTTGAATATAAATGTTTCCTATAATTCATGCCTACATTTCTTTATGAAATTTCCAAACCATATTAATGTCCCCTCACGAATATAAAATTTCCTTCTTAATGGATCATTATTTTTTTTAATTGAATTCTTATAAACTATTTATTTGGGAAAATCTACACACATATATGCTATTAATTATATATATTAATGTAAATAGTTTTAAACTTTTTAAAATTATTAAAAAGATTATATATTTGTTGATTAATAATTTTTAAGAAGAAAATTGTTAACTTTTCTAAACACTAGAGAAAATTTTTGTTATTAATAAAATAATTTCAAAGAATAATTAAATCCCATGTTATATTTTGCTTTCTAATTACATAAAAATTAAAAACATAAAAATAAAAATATCCCAAACTCAGTCTTTGAATGTCATAAATAAATTTTCAAATTAAAGATCCCTTAGTCCATTCCTTCTGCTTCACTGTCCCATTCATTCACATCTTCACCCACAATTAGAAGCAATCTCCTTAGTTTCCAATGTGAAATATCTACACAAAATCAAATCAATTTTTCTATACCCATATGCCCTCTCTCTCTCTCTCTCTATGTGTATATATATATATTTATACTCTCACATGCATATGCGCACGTGTAAAGTTCCACCTATATGCCCTTCATTTCTATAATTGTACATGTGTGCACGCTCGCACACAATTTGGACCCATATGACCTATGTGTGTGTAATGTATGCATATATATATATATATATGTATGTGTGTGTGTGTGTAAAAAGTCCGGAATTTAAAAAAAAAAAGGTCATAAATTAAATACGAAAGTAAAATAGTAGAGTTTAGGGATTACATTTCTTACATAATAATTTAGAGTGCCCAATAGAACTACGAGAATGTTTCTTCTAGAAAAATAAAAAAAAATAAAAAAAAATAAGTAAAAGATAAATAACAGAACATTGTAGGACGACTTTCACTAATTTTTTAAGGGAGTCCGGGTGGTGAACTATTTACAACCCTCTTATTGATCGGAATCTGAATTTTAGTCATCTTAATCTGAAATAGTTAATGAAAGTGTGAGTTATACTAAACCAGTAAGAATATCACACTACTCACCGATACAGAAACAGAAAGTTGGTAAAAATTATAAAAATAACCAATAAAGCTATTGATTTAAGTAAATTCATTTATCATAAGGAAAATCATATACTGCATATATTTACTGTTGTGAGATTTTCAAAATCCACATATAAAGACATAACTCAATTAACATACTAATATCATACTCGAGTGAGTAAGAACAATAATATTCCCTTTTTATTTGTCTATCGGTATCCCAAGGGGTCTATAGGGATGTCCCACTATGCGTGAACCAATATCCAACATTGTCAACTAACTGGTCGTCCTATACCCCGTCTGATATGAGTACCAAAAATACCATCTCTCAATACCTGTCCAGTATGAGGGTGAATCGGGTTGTCTCCATGCACTGTCCGGTATTAGCGCTAAAAATACTATTCCTCGATACCCCGTCTAGTATGAGGCAACGTTCACGATAGGGTTCTCTATGTACCCGGTTCGTCCACCATCTTTCAGGATATCCAGTAAGACTACAATTTATTAATTCACATGACCAAATCATTTTCTATTTGCATATTAATTTTTAATTTCACAAATCAACCGTAAATCACGCAGGATAAGCAATATATATATCAAGAAAGCACAA